TATTTCGGTCGAGAAGTACTCTTTCCCGACGAAGCTGCCTCCGAATTAGATGAAGCCTTGCAGCCATGGTCGTGTTAACACGGAGAGGAGTAAGCCACAAGTGGCAGGAGGAATGCACATTCATCGCTTGGGGCATGTTATCAAGAATACACACAGGTGGGCAGGGTTTCCGTAGCCCTCAGAGAGGTTAAAGTCGAGATTGAGAGACCTCCAAAGGTGTCTTTATTTTTTCTTTACTTTGAGTCGAGATAAAGTCGAAATATAGCCGAAATAAAGTTAAAGCAAAGTTAAAGAAAATTTAAAGACGAAATAAAGTTAAAGTAAAGTTAAAGTAAAGTTAAAGAAAAGTTAAAGAAGTTTCGTGAAAAAGGCCCCTGGACTTTAACCCTATCTATTTGAGCCTACTCAATATTTTCGTTATTCATTACATTAAAAAATGAAAGAAGCAAAAAGATCGCAGCAATTCAAGTACTGGTCTACAGCAGGCAACTGGGCGATTTTTCACGGATTTTAACGAGAACGATGGGACTGCTTCACTGCGCCCAGAAGTAACTCCAACAAGCCCTTACTACAGGGGTCGGGAACCTATGGCTCATGAGCCGAAAAGTTTGGCTCATCGTGTCATGGCTGAAAATCATGGTTGTTCCTCATTTTTCTCATGTATCAAAGAATCGATAAGTCTGTTGTGAACTTCTGGAAAAAGTATGTTGCATGGTCAAATAGGTTCCCTACCCCTGCGCCTACTACATCTCGCGTTACTCTGCTGAAATCTCCCAGGAGCTCTTTAACTTAGCGAGAAGGAATATGGAAAAGAAAATCAGTGAGAAATATGTAAGACATGCCTTTTTTTTTCAAAATGTACGCTGAAATACATTTTGAAATGCAAAGAGTCCAGGCCCTACTGCGCCTACGAGTTTGAGAACCGCCAGGTTATGGGATTCCTGGAACACAAGGGAACATGTAGGCTCAGTACTGCCACTGAAACCAAGAGGAGCCAAGGAACCAAGAGGATTTGACGATTACTTTTTCAATTTCGACTGAAAAGGGGCGATTTTGAATTGTGAATATTTTGAATTCTCCTGAGTTTGGATGAGAATGGAGAGAGGTACCGACTAATACCAGATATCGTTCATAATCTCATTCAATGTAGAGTTGATCGCCGCTTAAGAAGGATGATAGAATGATGAATTTCGAATGGACTGAAGTCGTGTCGGAATGAGAAAAAAAAGAATGGAAGAGAAAGTCTCAATCGTAAATCTGTCCACCAGTGATGTCCGCAACAAGGAACCGAATCGAATATACATCGCTTTCGGCATCATCATACCACACGGCTGGCTTCGCATCATGAAGGACCAGGTCCTCAGAGGGTTCGTGAAAGTAAGAAATATGAATAAATGCCTCGTGTGATACGGTCTGTTGTCAACCAAGCCACTTTCATCAAGGACATTCGATCCAGTCCTGTTAAATCACTCGAGAATGATATTAGTGGTATGTGCGGTATCTACGTCTCAGGTATACGGCATGCACACGCGTGCTTGCTTCCACGCCATGCGATCCCTTTCACGTCCAAAATTTTATAGTCTATCTTTTTTCCCTATGTCCTACATAGATGACAAGGGAATCCCATCCAGCATTGAAACAAGGATGATAGGAAGAAAGTGTTGGGAACGGGGAACTTCACTGCTATTCCTTTGCCTCCTCCCTACAATCCTCGCTTCAGGCAAGTGCAGGAGAAAAAAAAAAAACTTATTTCATTAACTGGATATTCAAATAATTTTTTTTACAGCAACATAAGAGCATTGGTCTTACTTCCAAGGTCGTTACATTTTGAATCATGATCAATTAAAGCAACACTCAATCATTCATTGGAGATTATTCTTCACGCCAGATATGCAAGAAAGAGGAGTGAGAGAGACAAGAATGAGCAGTAGAAGACGGTACTTAGCGATCCCAAGCCCGGGCCCACGAGGACTTCTGCTCCGGGTCCCATTACTCAGCCTACATTATGCAGGAGCAGGCTACTATCTGCCAGTGGATAAGAAAACCCTGGCCACGTGGATATCCTACGGCCTGGCTGGGGACAGGAACGGCCTGAGCCCATCCTCACCAAGGCTGGAATCCAGCGGCTGGGTTCCCCTCATACCTCTCTCT